TTAGAAGAGACTTAGGAATTTTAGAAATAGCTTAAAATCTGCTTAACTAATCAATTTTTGCATGATTGTATTGTAATAATCGATTACATAGGGTTTTAATCGATTATCATGTGTCTAAACCTTAAAAATTTGATGATCTCTCTGGAATAATCGATTATTTTGGGAAATAATCGATTATCTACACCTAAATGACCAAAATAAGAAGTTTCTCTCTGGAATAATCAATTATTTCAAGCAATAATCGATCAACAGCATCAGTTCATCGATTAATTGGTTCAATTGATGGTTTAATTGATTAACTAAAGCTTTAATCGATTAAACTGGGACGTTTTCATGAACTAGCCATTTGAAATGGCTATTTTGGCACTCTTTCACTCAAATATGATTGTTTATGACCCTTTATGACTGTTATTTTTGTTCTCTATATATAGAAAGACTTCATTTCACTTCTCCTCACCTCAAATCCTTGAATCAAAGCATTCTTGCATCATTCAAGCTCTCTTGCCTTTTCACAATCTCACTTGCCTTCAAAATTCTCTTGTTTTCTTTCATTCTAATCTTAATGGCTTCCTCATATCGTGCTAAGATCCCCATAAGAAGAAGATCTGCTCCTGACTCTCATCTCCGTCCAAATTTTGTTGAAGGATGGATCTCAGACGATGAAGGTAGACAAGAATTTCTTACCTTCTATAAAGAAAGGGGTATCATCACTCCAAAATATATTATTGGTGATCAATTCATCAATAGGGGATTTAATTTTCCAAATCTTCTTGAAATACAAGGTGTCCTCCCATTCATACAAATGCAAGGTACTTACTACCCTGATTTAGTTAGGGTATTCTATTCTCGTTTTAAATTTAGAGATCATGTAGCCACTTCTCAAGTCAAGGGTGTGACTATCATCCTTGACAATGATATATGGGAAAATGTTGCCCACTTTAATACAAGAGAAGATGCTATCAATATTTTTGCGGAGTTAGAAGATTTTGATAGAATTATGGCTTATCGCTCGTTTCTCCGCAACCCCTCCATGGAAATTGAGCGACTTCTATTGGCCGGCCCATTAAAGAAGGAGGAACGCTTGCTACTACATCTCATTGTCTGGATTTTATGTCCCCGGGCAACCAACCATGCCCAATGCTCATCTATTGATCTTCGCATTATTCATGTCATCATGAATAATGAGCCTATTGACTGGGGTAGTCTAGTCACCATGACCATGCTTAAAGCCAAGCGTCATCCTACTTTCAAAATTTCATATGCTCTTCTTATTTCTCGTATTTTAGAATACAAAGGAGTGAATGTTGAAGGAGAGAAAACGGTCAGGACGATAAATTCAAATCGCATGCTTGACAGCATGCTCACCAAGTTACAAATGGTGTGTGTCAATGGAATCTATGTGCACAAAGATGACGCTCCCAACATGGCTGAAAATGCTGAAGATTCTGATGAAGAGATGTCTGCTGCTGAATTTCCTACTGAAAATATACATACTGCTGGGACATCATGTGCCCCTCCTACATCCCGTCAATCAATGGAAGATATACTCTTTGATATGAATCAAAGAATGCAATAATTCTTCACTATCTCCGAAGAACGACATCAGGAAATCATTCGTCGTATCTCAGATGTAGATGATAGGGTTTGTAACTTAGAGGATATATTTGATGCTCAATTCAACAACGATGGAAGTGAAGAGTTTTAATCTCTTCCTCATATCCTATTGTTTGTAATTACTTTAATTTATGGAATAAAATTAGTATTTTTTTTTGTTTTGTTTGAAGGGGAGCTATTTTATATATATATATATATATATATATATATATATATATATATATATATATCTTATGCACTTATTGAGGGGGAGCTTTCATTTTTTAATCATAATCAAAATAGGGGGAGAAATTATTTAAAGTCTCTTATGTTTTTATTAAATTTAAATGTTATTTGGTATGTTTTTGTTAGTTGTGACATATAAAATAGGTTATTACAAAAGGCTTTAAAGGAAATTTTGATCATCATCAAAAAGGGGGAGATTGTTGAAACATACAAGGATATGAATGTTGAACATACAAGGATGTGAAGCTTGTAGATTTTGATGATGATTCAAGAATAAAGGACTTAAAGATTTGAAGACTTGTAATGTTATGTAATAACTCTGTTTTTATGTTTTTGAGTCTGTAATATTAGAGTCCAAGATAGCCAGCACATAGACCACTCTTTAAAAGCTATAAAAACTCATTTTTATCAAAAATATACTAGATTAATCGATTAAATGGCAGGATAATCGATTATTACAGAGAGAACCATTTTCAGCATCTACTCTCTGGTATAATCGATTAAACACCTTGTTAATCGATTAACTGGGCTGTTAATCGATTAAATGCCCTGTTAATTGATTAACTGGAGCTATTTTGGGTTCTCTGCGAATTTGGCTCTGGAATAATCGATTAACACTTAAGATAATCGATTATTTCAGTCAGATATGTGTTTTTGAAATTCAAAATTGGACCAAGTTTCGAAAACCCTATTCCCAATTCATCTGTTTTCGAAAATCCCCAATTGCCAAATCCTAATCTCTCTACTTAAGGTTCTCTAAGGCTCTCTGCAAATTGAACAATCTTTTCCAAACAAAAGTTAAGAGATGTGACTGCCAGAGAACTGTTTGTTGGGAGGAAAAAGGGGCTTTTGAAACCTAGTGTGGGCTAGAAGCGATAAGAATCACTGAGTGGGTTTTCTTGGTGGATTTTGTTTTGTGTCGTCTCTAGGAAAAACTGTTCTTCATCCTTTGTGTATTCAAAGGAGGTGTTCATCTCTTGTGTGACTCAAGAGAGGTGTATTCTTACCTTATCTTTTCATTTCTAATCTGTTTGTATAACTATGATTATAGTGACAGCGTTAATCCTCTGTTTGAGTGATTAGCAACTGGACGTAGGGTCTTTTGATCCAAACCAGTATAAATCGACTGTGTGATCTTCTATCCCTTCTCTATTTACTTTACACAACATTTTAATTCGTGAAATTTGGGAAAAATTTTAAAACCCTAATTTTTGTTTAAGAAACCAATTCAGCACCCTCTTGATTTTTTTCCGTAAATGCAAACATTCCGCTGCGTGATTCTAACAAAAACAAATAAAAATAAAAACAAAAACACACTAACTAGTGTGAGAACCTTGGCTGGAACTGCAAGTTCCCCGGCAACGGTGCCAAATTTGATCAAAGCCGTACTCAACCAAATAAATTCAACAATTAAAATATGTAGTACTAAGAAGTGACTCCTAGGTCATCTACCAACGAATTACAGATCAAACCAATTTTCTTACACGAGTATGCAGATTAAACAACAGGAAAATAATAAAAGGGGTTTTGCATAATAATAAACAGTAAATAATAGAATTTGAATAAAAAAATGAGAAAACAATTGATTTCCTGATTCGAATGTAATGTCACTTATCCTAGGTTACGAAATTAATTTTCTCTAACCCTTATTCCATCCCGAAATTAACCAACTAAGAGAATATTAACCCAAATTATCCTTATACAATTAAACATTGTATACATCACATAATCTCAAAGAATTATTAAGCAACTTTATATTGGTTTCAGTTTATTAAGCATAAACAACTTATAATTCAGCACTGAGATTAAGAGATGAAGAGTTAAAAGAATAAACGAAATAGAAGAACAAAACCTCAAAGATCTATTGCATTCTCCTCATAAAATTAATATAAAGATTTAGCTATCCATGAAAAATCAAAAACGCAGAAGAAGAGACATATGTAGGACAGATTCCATAGTGAATTTTCGACTTCAATTTTGGAAACCTTTTGGTTGGAATTGAACAATGCTCATGATAGTGAAAATTGCAGCCTTGCCTCTTAGCTTTACAACGCACTTTGAATCTCCTAAATTGGAGTGTTGTAGCTCTAGATATGTCCTTCTCACTGGGCAAAAGTAGGCGGTGCGTTTTTTCCTTGGTGTCTTTGATGTGTGAATGCCTCTCCTTTATATAGATAGTCCTAACCCTAATCTTAATCTAGGTTTGGGTTCAACTAACCCACAAAACACATCATAAAAAAAATAAAAACAAAAAAAATTGATTCTAATGGAGAATTGGCATGGCATCTAGCCCAATCTTCCAAGACCAAAATTGCTTTAAACTGTATAGAATAAAATATGGCATTTGACCCAATCTTCAAAGCCAAAAATTGTTTTATACTGTCCTGAAAATAATAATGAGCAAAAATTAAATCAAATAGATCCAAATTGATTAAAATCTAAATTATTGGTCCAATAAAGCCCAATTAATAAAAATTCACTACTAATAGAAAGTTAAGCCCAAAACACTAATTAAAATAAGTATAGAAAGATAAGAAAATATGAGAATATAATGACTCATCAACAATCACATATCACACGTAGTACAATCAGCCACACAAACCAAACAACCCAATAATAACAAATAGTACAACCCAGTTTAGATACAAAACCACACCAGTATCCAACATAAGCATCAAAGTTGGGATGCATAATAATGAAAACCTTAGACCAATCACAACACATTAAGAGACTAAAACTGTAATCATCTGCATATCAAAATTAGGCTTTAAACGAAAATTTGGCAGCATAACAACATCCACCCAATTTTAGTATCACCCATCCAAGCAAACAATAATAATATCACCCGTTTTAAATAATAATGTTTAACAGTGAGATGAAGACAATAGTGAGATGAAGACAACTAGCTCACGACTTCATATTCAAGCAAGGGATTCGGCACTGCTGTGAGGACGCCACTCACGGTAGCTGCGATGCGAGTGGGACGCGTCGGGGCCAAGATCCAAGGTGGCTACGATTCCAGTTGAAGGCACGAGTTGCAGTGGCTCAAGATGGGTATGGGGTTCGCGGGTGGCCAATGATTAGGTTTAGAGGGTAGGCTTGTGAAGGGGAATGATTGAACTTGTAGTAGCTCTAGGTAGGTGCGTGATTGGCCGATTGTGATGAAGGAGAAACGGCTAGTGGTTCGTGATGGCGGGGATTTGGTGAGTGGTTTGGTGAAGGAGAAATGGGTGGCTCCAATTGAAGGTGGCGGTGGTCGCACGGTGGCCGAAGTTGAGGGTGAAGGAGAAGGTCAGGCTTAGAATGGTGCGCCTCAACGAGGGAGGTGGGTTGGCGCAGTGAAATGAGGGTCCACGGAGGTGGTTTGGGTCACTTGCGGAGGCTCATGGAGGTGGCAAGGTGCGAATGCGTGCGTGAGTTATGGTGGGTTTGGGGGTGATGGCTGTCACGATGAGCGCAATGGTGGAGGCAAGAAGTGTTGATTCAAGGTTTGGTTGGGATGGCTACGATGGTGTCCAAGGAGGCGGTGATGAGAGTGGGATAGGACTGGAAATGAGAGGCTTGGTGATTAGGAGATGGAGATGCGGCAGCTAGTGAAGGAGAAGTGTCAAGATGAGGGACGACGGCGCATAGGGTGGTTAGTTTGGAGGTGCGATGGCCGTTGATGGGAAGGATTGAATAATGAGGGAGATGGGTGGCCTTAGGGCACGATGACAATGGTCGTGGTGAGGTAGTAAGGAAATCGAGGTTGAAGGTGGGGGAGAAGAGTGGAGATGTTGGTGAGGAAGGGCGAAGGTGAGGAGAGGAGAAGTGAATGGAGTTGGGGTGTAGGGCCGCCACACGGGGAAAAGAATGAGGTCGAGAGAGTGAGTGCGTCATTGAAGGTTAGTGAAGGTGGAGAAAAAATGTTTCTGGCCCTCTATGTCCTGCCAGCCCCCCTTTCTTAAATGAGGTTAAAGTAAAATTAGTGCAACTTAAGTTAAAATAATGGGTCAAGCCAAAAAAGTGAAAGAAAAGAAGTAAAATGTAACATGATCAAATATATATTTTTGCCTTTTTAATTTATTTATTTTATTTCTTTTTCTTGTTTTATGAAATATACAACTTAAAAAGGAACTATTTTTTTTTCTTCATTCTTTTTCTTTTTATCTTTTTTCATATTTTCAAAATAAACAGTTCTATTTATTATTATTGTTTTATTTTTATCTACCCGGATGAAATTGGCTATTGACAGTTGCCCCTCTTTACTTAGCTTATAGCTTTTACTAGATAATATGAAAATTTAGAATTTTTGTATGATCATAGTAAAAGATAAGTAAAGATCGAAGCAGTAATTTTGTTCGGGTTTTCAAAATTACGACAAAAAAAGAGGACGTAGTTTGCTCTTGGATGAGACAAACCATCAATCTGAAATACGACAAGATATTTAAAAGGATATATATATCGTCCATGGAAGGGACTGACCATCAATCCAAAATGTAAAACTGGAAAGGGAGGTATAGATTACCCGTGGAAGGGACTGATCATCAATCCAAAAAGTAAATTTGAAAAGGATGTTTAGGTTGTCCGTGGAAGGGATATATCGTTAATCCAAAAGAAAAAAAATGTTGGTGGTCGCCCGTGGAAGGGATTGACCATAAAACTGAAAAGTAAGTTGGAGAAAGGATATATAGATCGCTCGTGGAAGGGACTAACTGTCAATTCGAACTATTTGAAAAAGGATGTATAAATCGCCCGTGGAAGGGACTGTTCATTAATCCGAACTATTTAAAAATGGATGTATAGATCGCCAGTGGAAGGAACTGATCATCAATCCGAACTATTTGAAAATGGATGTATAGATCGCTCGTGGAAGGGACTGATCATCAATCTAAACTATTTGAAAATGGATGTATAGATCGCCTGTGGAAGGGACTAACGGTCAATCCGAACTGCTTTAAAATGGATGCATAGATTGGTCATGGAAGGGACGGATCGTCAATCCAAATTATTTGAAAATGGATGTATAGATCACCCGTGGAAGGGACTGATCATCAATCTGAACTATTTGAAAATAGATGTATCGATCGCCCGTGGAGAGGACTCACCGTTAATTCCAACTGCTTTAAAATTGATGTATAGATCACCTGTGGAAGGGATTGATCATCAATCCGAACTATTTGAAAATGGATGTATAGATCTCCCGTGGAAGGGACTGATCACCAATCTGAACTATTTGAAAATGGATGTATAGATCGCCCATTGAAGGGACTGATCATCAATCCAAACTATTTGAAAATGGATGTATAGATCGCCCATGGAAATGACTGATCATCAATTCGAACTATTTGAAAATGGACGTATAGATCGCATGTGGAAGGGACTAGTCATCAATCCGAACTATTTGAAAATGGATGTATAGATCGCCCGTGGAAGGGACTGATCATCAATCCGAACTACTTGAAAATGGATGTACTGATCTCCCGTTGAAGGGACTGATCATCAATCTGAACTACTTGAAAATGGATGTACGGATCTCCCGTTGAAGGGACTGATCATCAATCCGAAATATTTGAAAAGGGTGCTTGATGCTGCTAGGGGAAATTGGACTCTGCATGTAGATACCGGGCTTAAATGCAGATTCCAGGAAGATGTTGGGCTTAATATGGGTGCCAGTTCGACTGGACTTAGATGCCAATGCTGATATGAGAGATGAGGATGCATGGATGCACATATATGTCAAGAAAGTGAGGATGTGAGGATGCGTGTGCTAATTTGAATATACGGATGCATGGAGGTGCCAACGTAAAATGTGAGAATGCATGGATCAAATTTAATGTATGTATGAACGCATGGATGATGTAAAAGCCAATGTAGATGTATATTGGTTATGTAGATAAGGATGCATGATGCATGTGGTTGATGCCACTATGACTGTATGGGTTGATGGATGGATGTTGCTGATAGGCAAACTGTAACACTTTGTTTATTTGTTTTTTTCTTTCTTTTCTCTTTCTTTCTTTTTTCATATTTTCAAGCATTTTGATTTGATTATTCCCTTTGTAATCATCAAATCCATGAAAAGTTGTCATTTTATTTTCTTTAAATAATGCAAGTGGGGGGACATTGCAAATCTTGAAGCCCAATGCAATGACTGAAGTATAGAAAAATTGACATTTTCTTTTTAAAAATTGAAGAATCAAATGTTTGGAGATATGGCTTGTTTGGTTAAGTTGACATGCTTGAAGGAAGTTGGCGATGATGTCAGGTTATGTAGGGATGTTCCTCTTTTGACATTCCTTAAACGAAAAAAACTGTATAAGGTGGAGTTATAGAAACAGGCAAAGTTGCCCTAGTTTCGAGTTATAGGGAAGCTAAATAACAAAAGGTTAGGGAAAAGTATGGGTTGCCCCCGATTATAATAGTGGTATGAAAGAGGTGGACATGATTGCCCCTATTTTGATGGTTGAAGTGACGAAAATAGAAAAAATTGGTCCCAAGGTAATGGTAGGATAGTAGAAGGATTACCCCATTTGATGGTTGGGTGATAGAAATGAAGAAGATTGCCCTAGAAGGATGGTGCGATAGGTAGGATTGCCCCCATTTTGGTGGTGGCACGACAAAGTAAAAAGATTGCCCCTTCACCTAGTTTATCGATTGTTTAAGATAGTTCAAGATTTTTTCTCTATTTTTCTTTTTTTTTATGCCTCTTTTCTTTTCTAGCAACCATGTCGTTAATCAAGATATTTTATCATAGGATCAAGCGTTGCAAAAACCAGATAACCAATCCTTAATCAGCGTGAACTTTTATTTGGATTGTAACGTGGCTATGGGTTAATGGCTATGAAAGAAAAGGGTATTAAGGCTCAAAATAGTGTTTGGAGGTTATTTGAAACAAGGATTGTCAATCCAAGTTATGCATCGTTTACAACCAAGGTTTGATTTGTCCAACATTTCCCTTTTAGTTTTCTGATTTTTTTCTTCAAGATGCTTACAGATTATTGATTCATCCTTTTTCTTGAATAATGATTTCCTTTTCTTTTCTTTTGTGTGTTTTTTTTTCTTTTAGTTAAATGCACTCGATGTAACAATGGGTTCACTTTTGATGTAGACAAATCCTTGTATGGGGTAATTTGATAAAAAATGTTGTTTGCTTTTTTGGCTCAACAAGGGTAGCAAGGGATATTGTTTATATATTTTTGGGATAAAGAAACATGGACACACGTCACTTTAAATTATGATTGTCTTGTTTTTCCAAATATTGATCATACAACAAAATTCGATGACTTTCGACATGAATTGCCTTTTTATTATGTATTTTTGTAATTCTTTTGTCCTGCTTTTTCCTTATATCGCCCTTGCAGGTTTTCAGTCTAGTGGAATTTTCTTTCTATTATTTTTTTTTCACAGACAAGATAAACCTAGTGGAGTTGCTTGAGAATAAGGTCACTTTACTCTAGGCGATGATGAACTTTATTGGAGAAAATATGTTTATTTTAAGGAGGGATGGATGGGGTGAAGGGTTTCAAGCACCATGCTTATGATTACTTCAAAGGAAAATGTCGACTTATCGTCTTTTATCAAGGCTTTGGATCGAAGAAAGCGCATGACATTCCCCACCATCATCATTTTTTTTATTATTTTGAAAAATTATTTTAAAATGTCATGAATTTTATGACTATTGAAAATAAATAATTAACTTAACATGCAATTTTACTTTTTTTTGTTCGTTTGTCATTTTTATTTTATTTTGCAACACCCCTTTAGGACTTGTTTCGAGCTAAAACCAGTATCTTTCCATGGTCTATGAAGAAAGCCATTGTGCTCATTGATAAATGTAGAATTCAAAACCTAATGTGATATAGAATAAACTTGTTAAACAAACCATTGTCATTCATATAAGGATATAACAGTCTGACATATAACAAAAGCTAACAAGACAAGAATCCTAGCAAAATCATGAAGGTGAACCAAAACTAACGTCAATCAAATAAAAATGGCCGCCAGGTCTTCCCCTAGCCCTCACTCTCCATAGCCTTTGTGGAAGTGTTGTCATGCCCTAGTAGAGGACTGTGCTCAACACTAGGTTTGTCTTCCTTGAAGCTCAACCATCCAGAATCAATTAGAGCTTGTGCCTTGCGCTTGAACTCAAAGCATTTCTCCATAGAATGTCCAATAACCCCTCCATGATAATTGCATATGGCATTCATGTTGTAATTTCTCGGGTATAGTGGCTGCATAGGCTTCATGGGGCACATAGCAACCAACCTGTTATGAAGGAGTTCAGCAACAACTTTGTATAAGTGATAGGAATGGGAGTAAAATTAAAATCTTGATTAGCACCTCCCTTTGGGTTTGATCCTCGGGCTGACCCATTATTGGAATGCTTGAGTTGAGATGTTGGACCTTGAGCGACTTGCCTTTAGGGGAAAGCTTGTTGTTGGGAATGATATGTACAGGCTGCAGGTCGCAGGTAGTTTCGTCCATAAACTAGGGCATGGTTCACCCAGGAGGGTGTGGAAGATGTTGCATGCACTTCCCCTTCTTTCCCTGGTTTTGCTATATTTGAGACCATAGACATGCCAGGTGCGATTCTTCCAGTATTCAGACCGCCCTCTACTCTTTCCTCAATTATGACGAGATCAGAAAACTTTGAAGAGAAGTTGCCTATCATATGCTCGTAAAACAGAGATTGTAGGGTGGTGAAAAACACAATCATCATCTCCTTGTCTTGTAGTGGCGGTTCTACTTGAGCAGCGACTTCTCTCCACCATTGAGCATATTCTTTGAAAGTTTCTCTTCCTTTCTTCGTCATATTCTGCAGTTGTAACCTATTAGGGGCCATATCAACTTTGTACTTGTACTGCTGCATGAATAAATCTACTAGGTTCCCCCAAGAG